TATTCCACCAATCTCTACTCCATTTGTTTACAGATATGCTAGGCACCAATTACAATAATGGTGCTTCGTAATTGGAAACGAGCGTTATTAGCACTCAATACAAGACATAACCAGCACACAACTGGCTTGGTAATGATATTTACGTTACGAATAAGAATAAATCTTGTTATTTAAACTCAAAAACTTGCAAACAGGATGGCTTATTTGTATTGTCCATTAGGATCTCGAAATCGTTTAAAGTTACAAAAAAAAATGTGTCACTTTCAGAGCCCAATTGAATCATACGATATCGACGAAAACCAATTTTTCCTCAAAACCGGTAGGTTCAAGTGCATTTTCACGTAAGAATCAGTAACGTAGAAATAATATATACCACGGCAAGTTTTAGAGAAATAGCACAAAGTTCAATTTTTTAATGGAAGCAATATAATATATTATATACTACATTCAAATTGTATGTTATACAGGGTCGCCGATAAGTCTGGTAACAGTCGATTATCGGAGAAAATGTACAAGGTATCGAAACTACACGGGTGGGGGACACCAAAATTACATTTTTTTAAATGCAACGCCCTGTACATTATTCGATATGTCAATGTCAATAAATTATCGAATTATCGAGTTTTAAAAATAAAACTATTATTTTACAATTGGTTCCATGGTAACGCTAAACGATTCTGAAAAATTCAGTTTTTTTGTCACTTTGACACACTTGCGAAAGCGCGATTTTGCCCAAAATCGCATCGGCTCTTTATTTTGTGTCCAAGAGTATGTGCACCAAATTTGGTTCCAATCGGTTAATCCAGAAATGAGAGTACAGACAGACAGAACCGACACCATCGAGCTTCAAAACGTGTATTTCCGTCAAAAAAGTGAGGGGGGGGGTGTCATTTTTTATTCCAATGCCAAAAAAACCCTTTTCTAACGTAATGGTGGTTTTGTCAGCGATAGGATTGCAAAATGTGCATATGCATGAAAAAAAATGACAATCACTTGCGGTTTCACATAAAACGATCAAAATTTCATAATTTAGCATCATGGCAACCCTTACTATATTACTGCAAATAAGTTTCTTTGTACTTGAAGTTGTTTGAAAATGAAAAATGAGGATAAGTGAAAGTGTCAACCATTTTCATATGAAAATCGAAGTTTAAAATTGATGTAGTAAATAAGTATCGAATTTTCGTAGAATGATTAAATCCATTTTTTATTGTAAAATAGGAGAGTGCCATGATTGAAGTACAAACAACGCACCATTTGTTTTGGTTGTAGCGAACTGTCTTTTACAAAGTCCAAATGAATGTCGAACTTTGAAGCGTCATACGTCAAAATTACATTTAGAAATAGGACATGGTACATGGAAAATTTTCCGTAAAATTCGATATATGCAATACTAATGTATTAGGGTTTCCGTGCTAAATTAGAAATTCTGATAGTTTCGGTTTGCTTAAAATATGCACATTTTTCAATACATCTAAAGCCCTTATAAAACGCGAGCCTGGATGCTAGTTTCGTTCCAAACATTCCACAATTTAAAAAGCACACCCTGTATATTTTTGGATTCTACAGACACTTTTACATCTTATACACTATTATTACCTGTGACTTCTAGCGTAATTTATACGAAGTTGGTTAAAAAATAATTAATAATAAACCCCTAAAGCGGATCTAAAAAAGCGGCAGCGCACTTCGGTGTTACCCTACGGCGGGCATTGGATTTGACCCATTTTCAATAGACTTGTTACATATGGCATGAGTCAACTGTGCAAAGTTTGAACCAAATCGGTCCCAAGCGTTTGGCAGTTCACGGACCGACGGACACCATCGACTCCCCTATAAAGCTTGCATCGCTTTGCTTGGCCGCTTAATAATCGTGGATTAGCAAATCACTTTAAAAAATATATACAGAGCGCTTCAAAATATCCGAGTGGGCCACTGTGGTCCTATTTGAAAAAATCGACTTAACAGCATAAATCTTAACATTACTTCAAAAATGTGGTACTAAAATTCAAACAAACCAAGTTCCCGCCAAAAACGCCTCCTTTTACGATTTATGGCTGCATGTTACTTGCGTATTCGCGAAGTTTTTAGAAGCGTATTTGAACGAATATAACGTATTAGAAGCGTCAATTATTATATTATTTTATTATGAAACATTTAAAGTGTTTTGGATAATTTCCGAGTGAATAAAATGAGTAAATTACTAATTCACGTAATATTATAGGGCCCCCTGTACGGTAAGAGTGATCTGTCGAATCCATCGTTTCAGACCGATCGAACAGACGGGTCGATAGTGTATGTCAAGATATGGAAAATGCGAAAGATTTTCCTTTCCCTTTCGAATGATGAGGCGGTCGATGCTAGTCACAGTCTGTTACGGAGGAGGCGCTCGAAAGTTAATCGGCGGTCGCTAACAAAGAGGCGGTCTATGGAAAATGCGAAAGATGTTCCTTTCTCTTTCGAATAAAAAGGCGGCTGATGCTGGTCGCCGACCGTTACGGAGGAGGCGTTCGAAGTTAATCGGCGGTCGATACGAAAGAATTGGTATATGGAACATGGAGGAGGTGCCCGGGTTTCGTCTCTCGGTGGTCGATACGGGAAAGTCGATCTTTTGCTTTTCAGTAACGTAGACTCACGGGCCAAAAACTGCCCACACCTCCAAAAAAGGGTATCTTTTATAATTATTGTTAAAAGAACATATGAATGCTCGGTTTTCTGTCAGTAAATATTCCTTAAACCTCAAGCAACTATGCAGATGCAAAAAAAATATTCCGGATGCGCATTCCAACATTTGTATTTTTTTATTTGTTAGGTTATTTAAATGAAATTTTGTATGTAGGCATCCTCGAATAAAAGTAAAACAATGCCTATTCAAACAATGTGTTTTAAAAGCTATGCTGATCTCCCCTTAATGTGTGTTGTAAAAATGATGGATGCGTGAAGATCTCGAGGATCGTTCGGTATTCAGTTCTATCGGATTTTTTGCCCAAATAAATGTATGCCGACTTAGTCACGTGGCCTTTTGGTCCCGATTGATTACAAAAATTTTCACCAAGAGGTATCAAAACTCAAATTTCATGCACCACCACATACACATGTGCGAATGTCCTCCAAAACGACTCATATGAGCTCACACTTGATATCAACTTAGCGAAAAATAAGTAAAAAAAATAAAAGAGCGACAACATTTTTATTTCCCTATCTAATTAGCGGAAAAAAAGCGGCAAATTTGCCCTTACTTTGATATTAGGTATTAGTTATTCCGGTAATACCTCAATTTATCAACTTAGCGAGACATTCATTAAAAACCAGGTCCTAATTCTTTACGAAAAATGTGTGATACATTGTTGTAAAGAGAAAAAAAGACGTAATGTCACAATGTCAAAATCGAAAATGGCGTAATCAGAAATTTTCGTTTTTCTGTAAATCAGAAATTTCCGTTTTTTTTTTGCGATACCTTCGAAACTATTGAAGATATTTTTAATTTATTTTCAGATTGTTATTCGGCACGAAAGTTCGCCCTGATTTAGCCATAGAATTTATTGAAACACCCTGTACATAAGTACTGGAATAATTTTAAACGACGATTAAATGATTTAATGGTTTCTCATTTAACCTCGTCATTTCAAGGTTCGAGAATAAGAGAGTACAGTTTGATTTTGTGACGACTACGCCTTTAGAGGGGGGACATCCGTGGTCTACAAAGGTGACAAACTAAAGATAATGGAGATATTTCAACAACCACGCTAATTACGTAAATTGGCGAAGGTCACTTTTTAAGCATCTCGGCAGTTCTGTGAATCAAGTTAATTAACTTAATTTGTTGTTGAAAGATCGTTTTTTGCTTTTTTGGTGCAAACATTGGAGACGTTGCAGGCTAATTTGTTTCATTTTTAAATCGCACAGTCACTATAAATCAAGTACTGAGTCAACATCCTGTAATTAAGAACATGGCAATTATTTTAGATATATACAGCATGATTCCGATATACGACCTCTCGATAACTTGAGAAAAACAATTATTATAAGACGTGCGGCAGTGAGAATTTTCAGCTAAAAACATGTAAAATCGCCGTCAAGAATAGTCTGGATTTGCTCTCGAGGATTGTGAGTAGTGAGTCTACGTCTGAAATGCACAACTATCCGTTGTACCGTGTACGTGAAGTACATTTTCTTTAGAAATGCCAATTTCAGATAGGGATTGGTCAGATTGGTGTAAAAGCGCTGCATATTTACTGGGGGTGGACCTCGGGGTGGACGATTGTAAGCTAATTTTTAACGAACAGTTTGCACAATATGACCAATATTGACAAAAAAATATCGGTTACAGATGTTTTTAGAGCATTTTGAAAAAAAAAATACGCTAGTATATTCGTTATGGCTGGCTGTCTGGCTGGCAGGCTGAGATCTCAGCAATTACAATAGCACTAAAAGCTTTCTGCTATAATTGTGAGTTGTAGGCTCTAGTCTATTTTGAGTTAGAATACTCGCGAGATCGATAATCTGTATTATAGTAAATGTAGATGTATTACACTTGGTATCGTCCTTTTGGTCTGAAACTGTTGTGCAGAATGAAAGTGTGTGCGGTCAAGTTTTTGTTTATTATAAAGATACTGGACCGTACTGGAGGCTGACCTATATGCAAAAAAGCTAAGTTTGGGAAGGTCATGAGTGTTTCAAATGTCAACGAACGAAAAATTCTGCAAAAGACAGCTGTTTGGAAATTTTTTATTTACAATTTTTAGATTACGAAAACGCTTCTCTTAATGCAACTTTCTCTTATTTACATCGTATTTTTGCGTCACTTCTTTCTATTTTAAGCGTAAACAAAGCCGCATTGTAAAAGTCGGACCGCAATGTCAAGTACGCTTTTGCAAAATAAAGAAAAGAAATTTGACAACGTCCGTAGAAGGTGAAGTTAAAATAATACCCACGTACCTAATATGTATGCATTACTCACATAACGGTAATTAAATTATATAAATTTACATATCACTAACCTGATTGTTGTAACATGTTTTCTAAGGGGTGGTAAACTAGTGCAGGCGTCGGAAACCGTAACAAACCGACTACTTTGTTGATGACGAGTGGTGCAAACCACCCTAACCCTTTCTTGCACAATTGAATGGTGTACTCTTACGACAGTCCTGTCGCTCACCATCATGTGGGAGTTGGGTGAATCCCTAATAAGCAAATGCTGCCCTCGCATCGTGCGTTGTTAATTAAAACTCGCGAACTTTTTTTTTGCACATCTTCAACCCCTTCGCAGTTGGCGCACGCACAAGACACACACCACACACCACAAACGACAACTTGCGGCCAGTGATGAATGACAACAAAATAGTAAAAGTATTCCAAACCCGCTTTTGCAACTTTCTAGGTAAGGTGCTTGGTTACGTGTTAAAACGAGAGTTATAAATATTCAGAAGATAAATTATCACCGATACTCGCTATCATCATATTTAATAAAACTTTCGATTGAACACAGATTTTTTTCAAAGGTTAGTTAAGAACGAGAACGAGCAGGAGAATGTATGCTAACAGTAGCTACGGAAACGCGAGGCGGACTAGTGTTGACGTCACAGTCCTTGATGTTATATCATCACTAGGTGAACTTCAGTGGACATTAACCACGCAATGCACCAAGTGCTGTGAAATTGTACTACTAACGGGACAGACAACCAGCTAAACTAACTCATAATGTCCGTGTCTTCTTTCGGTAACGTTATGGAGGGCAGAAGGTCCTGGTGGGTGTCGCGAAAAGCTGCACAGTCCTTGTTGGCGTTTTCAATGTTTACTGTTATTTGCGCTGACGCGAAATGTTTAATATGCTTCCTATTTAAGTATTATAATTAACGGTGCAGATTTGCCTTAATAGGTCATGGATAGCAAACAAAACTCGGTTTCCGTAACACAAAAAAAAACACAAGCGAAATAGGGCCACCAGAAAATGATCTCACCAGCACTTCGCCTCGTTACTTTTTTGCGAGAATATTAAGCAAATATGTTTTCAATGACGTTTTCATTACAATCTATAATCAGAATAAATTCATTGAGGAATCAATCATCCTTGAAATCAGGTGTATCCAAGATACGAAATTTAATTATTTTTCATTGCCACCCACCGCAAAACTTTCGGGCACGAAGCAATTTCGAACGATTAAGTTTTATCATTAATATTCTAAGTTATATAAACCAGAGTCGTTTGAGAACAAAATTAATTTTGGTTCTCTCGAGGAAAATGCTAAAGGTGGCAGATTTTAACCAAAAGGCAAACGTGGGAGGAATCGTTCCCGGTAGGTCGAAAATGGTTAATAACAAACTCATACGCACTAACCCCACGCTCCACAACTAAAACATCGCATACAAAATCGCAATAAAAAGTACGGTAAAATGTCTGAAGGAAAAGACCTCCATTTTTACAATGACTATACTTTAGTCACCTAAAGTTGGAGGCTCATGACAAAGACCGATAAATACAAACAAGTAAAAATTGTAGATAAAGGGCATTTTTAAACCGAAATAGCTTAGTAAATGGTTGAGTTATAAGGTAGTAGCATGCTATCGATGTTTACTTTCTTGGTTGATGATTAATGGGGAGGAGGCCCTTTACACATAAACATTTAAAAGCCGCCTGGCATAGGTACATTCAAAATCCTTCGACACCACATTTTGCAGATATTTGCACTGAAAGCTTTGACAGCACCAATAGATATGTCCATCCTAACGTTCCACTTGTCTTTTGTGAGTACCTCTTGCGACAATCCGTTCTGGAGATATAAGGGAATATATTCGATCACGTTAAGGGGTCTAGGACCATGGAGGGTAAAACCACAACCCCCCTCCAGACCCCCTCTTTTGATAAGGGGTGAGAAAGAAAGGCGGTAGTTGGTAGAAACCGGTTCCTTTCGTTAAGACCTTTACTTAGAAGAATATCATATAAAATTAATTTATAATCCTCTACCCCCCCCCCCACTAGGCCCCGCCGCCCACTGATCTCGAAAAAGAGTCGCGCGGGAAAGTTATAGTTTGTACACGCCAATTTATTTCGATGAGACCTTTCATTAGAATACCATGAAGGGTAGAAAGTGTGTTAACCCCCCCATTTACAAGCGTTTTAGTTGGCACCACTAAAGGCAGGCGTATGAAAATTTGAGACCAATTGGTTGTCGTATGTAAAAGTTATGCACGTTTTACTATCAAAAACAGCATCTAATAATAAAATCTAATCAAATAATTCATTGCCCCCCCCCCCTCCCCTTATTACAGCGAAATTTGATGGCCGCCTGGCACACCTTCAAGGTGCGACACCCAGTGCAAAAATTCCAGACTCTAGGACCCTAGTTCAACACGGCAGAAGTAGGTCCGGACGGAAGGACAAAACGCAAACAACAGCACTTTTTTTAATTCTTAAAAAATGCGCTAAAAACTAGGTGCTAAATTCTTGACAGGTTCCTAGCTTAAACCAGATATTTAAAAAAAAAACGATTTTGACAGTCTTATATTTTCTAACTTTGACATTTTTATTCTCCGTTTTTTTGTGATAAAACCCGAGATAAAACCTAACATAATTTTTGAAGGTTGTACCGTGTATCCTATTTTAGTTAAGACTCAATCAGTGTATTTCAACTTTTTTTAAACATAGAGACTTACGGTTCGGTTGTCGCGCCCGTGTTCCACTTTTTTTAGAGACTTTTAATAACACAAACAGAATCAATCTAGCTACGTTTGTTTCTGAGAAAACGAAAAGTTTAACTTTTTGGGATGGTAAGATAACAAAAGGCAAAAACTGCCTATTTTACGTTTGCACCACCGTTTCTGAGGTTGGCCCAAAGTTGGTATTTTTTAAATGCAACATCCTATACATCTTGACAACAGTGTTTTACATTCTTTTCCCTGATACTTTAATTAATGTAACACAACTTTTATTATATGAAAGTATACTATATTTTATCATATTTTTCAAAATCTTGCAATGACCTGTTTCTACCGTCGGCCATTCTTATTGATTGGTATCGGCTACCTTATCATGGACACAATAAACAAAACAAAATCGCCATGAATCCAATTTTAAAAAAATATATAGGTTGCATTTAAAAATACCAACTGTCGGACAAATCCCAGAAACAGTTATTAAAAAATTTTTACTTTTGACTACGCCACTGGATTCTACGTTTTTACTCTTTTTCTATCTTACGTGGATCGTAAAATACGATAACAACGTAGCTAGATTGATTTTGTTTGTGATATTAAAAGTTTCACAAAAAAAATGGTGCAGAGACGCGAAAATCTGTCCCTAAAAAATCGGAAAAAGCCTGCGGTTTGCCATCTGCTCCGATATTTCACACATTGCATTGCAGAACGTCTGATCCTAAATACCATGAGTTCCAGCTAAACAGAACATGTCAATCATAGGTTGTTGAAACATTTTTTTTTAATTTCATAAGAGAACGGTACTTTATCGATAGGACTGTTTAATGCTCGTTACATGTAAGATACATCCAAAAAACCACAATACCAATATCAGACTAAAATCCAATTAATTCAAACTTACGTACCTCATTAATAAATGGGTTTCGGATTGCGATATAAGTCGAAGAAAAATAGGTAATTAAATTAAAACATATGGCATAACCTAAAAAGAAACTTATTAACCAATTAAGGAATCCTACGAAAATAACTTTACCTCGAAAAGATATCAATATGGCTCATTCACGTAAATACGTTTAGATATATAATTTCGGCAATTTTTACTGGATGGTTTTAGATTGTATACCTCGGAGTGTAACAACTTAGCCATTTGCTTTTATTTGCGCAAAATATACTGACTCTATTTAAGGGTTGGTACATGTAATTTATTTACTGTCCCTCTTGTTCAGGGCCCTCAACAGAATTGCGCCCAATTACAGAGTAACCCGCATAATGATTTTTAGAGGTGCCCCTGCAGAAGGTCTGAAGCTGTTCTATACTACTCTGGTAGGTGCGAATTAGGAAAACTGCAGGAAAACTGAATTCGGAGTAGCCGGCAGATTGCTCGAAACTGATCTAAGGAAATTCCCATATCTGCCACCGATGGAAAATTCTTACCCTAGCCCAGGTTCAAACACCCGACCTCCGGCTATGTAGCTCAATGCTCTAGCACTGAGCTACACAGTCGGTATGTCGGTCAACGAATATATTTAATTCGATTAATGCCAAAACACCGCATATAGCACTTATGGTGACCATAAAAGAAGGGGACAATTTAAAAAAAATTGTGGATTATAATTGTTGAATATAATTGGTACAAATTTGAGTTTGCCATTTGTATGACTAGAAAAAAGCTGTCGATTATACGTAAAAATTAGACCCCACATTTGCCTCCCTTCCACGAAAGTGACTTACATAATCGACTTTTAACATTTTCTCAAAATTACGAAAAAAAACTTGGTGTGGACTGTACATTTTGTGTAATTTATTCCATCCGGAGCAATTAAAATCTGATTTGATGGATATTTGTTTATTTTTGGAAATGCACCAATCGCATATGTCCGTTGCGCGATTTTGCCTCCCGTGTATAGCAGAATTTACATCACGATTCCACTCATTTGTACTTGCTTAAACGCCAAAAGTAAAAGTTTTATTTTGTGTTACAGACATTATAGACACCATTACTCAATTACAAACTGCTTTCACCTCATATTTTGCCGGCTACGATTACAGAATTGTTTTGTACTTTTAAAAACAAGCACACTACAAGTTAGAACCAGAGTTGCTTCAGTAACAGTTCTACCGAATAACTCGATGTACCTACCTCAGGGTTTGAACGTGGCCCTGTGTTAATGCACGCTTGAATAAATTTGCCCTTATCCCGACCATAGAAATGGTCAAATCGCTAATACCTACGAAGGACTTGCTCAAACTCTGTAAGTTTGACGCTTTCACTTTCACGGAGCATTGTAATCGAAATAGGTTCTCGTTTTGCTATGTTATTTAATCATTATTAAAACAATAGTGAAGCTCTTAAAAATAATTTGCATTGCTATTTTACAAATTAGTGGAGAGAAGGAATTCCAAACTCAATTCCTTTTCATTTGCTTTTCCTTCAATATTCTATGAGCTCTTCTTTTATTTATTCTGGCATCTCAGTCAATCCCTTTCGGTTACTTTATTTTATTTATTTTTATTAGGTACTCTTCTTTGTCGGTTAACGTAAACGAGCATGTATTTTGGTTTCTGTATTTACATTTCCCTTTCTCCATCTACGCTCGTTTAACCCATATTCTTTGATGATAAACACAAAATCGTGAATACGAGACTTGCTTGTTAATGACCATGTAATTAATTAATTTTACAGCCACTTTCTATCCCAGTTAGTTTCATTTAACATATGTTAACAGTTAGATATTAATAATATCAAATAACATTTCGTAAGGTAGATCTTATAACACACGTAAGAAATTCAACATGATACATTTTAAATCGGCAGAATTCTACAATATATTCAAGATTTGTTTCTTACGAATAGAGGCATTACCTATTCGTCACTGTCAAAAAAATTGAAATTATAATCCACTTTACCATGTGAACACAATTACGCAAATGGCAACCTTGAAAATAATAGCGAATTG